AGAAAGATTAGGTCATACTTATTTTCATAATATCCCACGACCGAATACAAATTATATTACGTTTATAAAAAAAACAAAATTGGTTGATACTCTCAAACTGCGATAACCCTAACCGAGATCTTTAATGTTTTCCTTCAAAAACATCAAACGAAAACGTCTGCAACTATTCAATTCTCCTAGTTAAATAATGACATCATCTTTCTTTCTTACAAGATTGTGACAGGGAGCTGTGCTTTAAATTATGTACAATAAGATTACGATTAAAATTAAATATCATTTAAAGCCTTAGATGGTGATATCTGTTTCTATCGAGAAAATCCCTCAGTGTCTGCGTACTAATTTTAACCTGAGTAGTATAGCATAGTCTCAGATAACGTCTAAACAGAGCTCTTTCAATTAGTGCTTAAAAATTTACATTTACTGGTGTCAAAATGTAGGATTTATTCTTTACATTGAAGTACAAACTGGTCGTTACGAGAAGATTAACTACTTTTATGCATGATTTATTAACGTCAGCAATTAAAAAGATTAATTTAATCTATGATGTAAAAGCTCTTATTTTTAGCACTTTCATATTGGATCATGTGATGTTGACATTAAATTTTGATATCAAAACGACGTATTTCATCTTGATATAATTATCTATAAAATATCTATATTTCTCCATTACGTAAAGTTGAGGTTTCTCTATATATTGTAGGTAAATTAAAATCATTTTAAAACATCATTTGCTTTTATTGGTATTTATTTGATTAACAGAAGATTACATTGGTCGCTTGGAGAATTTTATCTTGTCGCTACGCTCATTTGTGAGAAATCTTTTCAACACTCGAAGATAAAATCRTTATCTCCGCGCGCCCATGTAATATTCTCTATATATGACATTTCAAAAGGCGTTTAGAAATTTTACAATATCTGCGTTCGTATTCTCTGAAAAGACTAATTAAATTAAAAATTATCATACTTTTAACTGTAGATTAATTTTTGCAGTGTATTCTTTGAAACTCAATTGCAATGTTGAGCATAAAATATTCGTAATATTGCTTTATTTGCAGCTATGACACGGAAAAAGAAATYTATTTCGCCAACATTTATAATAACTATTTTCGACAAAATGTCACCAAATTTGAATATAGTTAGTAGGCACGTGAAATGCGTAATAAACTTAGCTAGTGAAATGTTGATAACATTATGACAGTTAGTCTGACTAAATTGAAGAAACTACTACATATTTTTTGATAATCGTATATATTTGTATCTATAAGTAAAGGTGGACTTTCAAAAAATATTTAATTACAATGATTAGAAGAGAAAACAAACAAAAAGATCAGTTCACTTTTAATGACTTTTATCCGCCCTTATTTGTAAATTTTCTTTTTGTTAACTTTAATTTTAGGTAACTTGTGCAAAGCATAGTGTTTTTGTATATATCCCCAATGATCACAGACGCTAAACAAAAGACCACGAGTCATGCCGTGAAATTGTAATTTAAAAAGACAAAATCAGCTAGCTTAGGCAAAATTGCCTTGAGCGCTACTGCGAATGARGTAATACTAGTGCAATTATCATCATCGTGTGGTTGTCTTGACTGATTACGCACCTGAGAGCGATGTTATTTTCTCAAGGCTCCTTAGAGTTGGACAAATAGCTTCAAATCAAATTTGTATAGTGTAATTAGAGCTCTGTCTATTTGATTAAGAAAAAGGTTTGGCAATGTAATGGTCTTTTAGTGTAAACAATGATAAATCAAGCGAGTGAAAGTTAATGCTTTCTAGAGGATCTTCGGATATCAAAATCTGTAAATTTTGACAAATATGTTTTACGGCTTGTATGACTGCCAATGGTCAAGCTGGAAAAGTATTTGATTAGATAACTAACAAGAGCTCAACATCAAAGATGTACCTAAGCTGGAAAATCTTAMACTTCTAATAGACTATTATTATTACATTAAAAAGGGCAAATGAAAATATTTTATTAAGATCTTGTTTTCAATCTTAGTCATGAATTTATGAATTTATATGTGGTCTCAGAGATGGTAAGATCATTCATTTAATACATAGTTGAATTTCTAGAATTTCATGACAAGCATGTAGGTCCAGATAAGACATACATGTCAACAATGGATTATTTAATAATAACAAGCATTAGATTGATTATGGATAGAAATAAAAGACTTATAATTCTTCTATAAGAAACTACCAATGCAAATAATGTTTGATTTTGTTCCAAGATCTACAAATAAACGAGAGACAACATGCTCAGAGCTATCATGAATTTGACACCTTTTAGCCTTGCTCAAAGTAATAATTCTTTTATGACAACTGSCTGAAACAGTTTTGATCGTAATGGACGTTGTGTCGCGTTTATTTGTGAATTTTTTAAAAGTTTTAAAACGTTTTAAGTAATTCACTGCGCTCAAATTACAATCAGGGTGCCTCAGGGTTCTATATTTGGTCCTATCTGTTTCACCGTTTAATGACATAAAAAGGGATAAAGAATGGTAGCAAAACTCGTGAAATTTCAAAATATTTTCATTGTCTTCTATACTCAGAGATATCTCGCATCTGTACGTAGTTTTATTGAAAGAATATATTACATGATTTTTAGGTTAACACGYTGTTAAAGACATCGCTAAAATGGTTTATTTTTGTATGTTGTAAACAACATTTTATTCATGATTCAGAAGCAGGATTTGACACATTTTTATTTTTATCATTTCATTTCAAATAAAGTGAAAAATATATAAGCATATATAACCTTCAGTATATTAGTTTTATATTTCACTCCAGCCTAATTGAAATAACACAGACAGGTCTCAAAATAAGATCATATCATCAAAGCCACCATCGAAGTGGATTCAGAAATTCCTCAGAAACCTTACCATTACTCGAACAGTAAAGCTTGTAGTCTTTACTCTGAAACACTCTAAAACACTGTTATACTCGTGAATATTTGTTTTTCCATACGATCTTAGATTTCATGATGCAGACTTTGAAACCAGACTTCTTTTTTTCAATTGGTTGTATTCTGTTTGTTCATTCGCTTATTTAGATACCTGAAAAACATTAAAGGAGTTTGTAGAAACTAAATCGTATTTGAATTACATACATGTATAATATATTTGGAGCTTTGCATACAAAGGCACATATAAACTTAATTCCAAACAAGTTAAGAAAACTATAGATAAATATTAGATTATACTTGTGTCAGAGTAATACAAAGAACGTAAATATAACTTACACTATACTTACTTGATTAAATATAAGTTTACAAAATATTTAGTATAATTCTATATCCCGTACAATTGCAATACATATGCGAAAATATGAGTGTCATAAATTGATATGATATATGTCTTTTTTACAGGTTGCCATTAAAATATTAGTTTTTCCTACTCGGCAAAGCAAAACAATCATAAAATATACTTTGCTGCATGCGTTTGTAATTTATTTGGAGGATCTTTCAATAGTCTCCTTCACGGATACCTGCGCCATCTTGAAAGGTAGCCGTACCTTTGCACCGAAGCGAGACGACCGTTGAGCGTGYAATGATAGATACCTGTGAATAATTGTCTGTAGGTGTGAAAGAAGGTTTCTATCATTGCACGCTCAACGGTTGTCTCGCTTCGATGWMAAGGCACGRYTACHTTTCAAGATGGCGCAGGTAACCGTGAAGGAGACTATTCTAGAAAAAAATCATCCTCCGTAATAAAATCGTGAATGCTATTTTGCTTAATAAATTTTCTCTAGTCTTAGAGTATAGATGGCATTTTTAAATCCATTTCAATAATTTCTAAAGCACAAATCCACACTCATTCACAAGAATGGGATCATTGAACTCACTTTTTTCAACTCCCAATGGTTTTTCCCGTCACCGGGACGAATAAAGCCAAGTCTTATATGGCCCCACTTTGGTGGCAGTCGATTGCGCTGACCTCGATGGATGAGCCATGTCTCGTCTTCAAACTTTATCTCGCGGTCACAGAACGAATTTGGACTACTTCCACCACAACCCCACTTGCTGCGAATCCTGTGATGAATTAACATAATCCTCTTTTCATAAACGTTCCCAACTTTACTAAACAGACACAGAATATCCGTGTCATCTGTACGTACTTGGTACATGAATAACACTTTTTTAAGTTCAATACCAGCGACCGCTGTTTTAGTACACCACATACTTACTAGCGTAGAGAACAAAAGGGAACACGAAAGAATGTAACACACAAGACGTAGAGTTTGAGAATTCTGTTGATAMAATCTTAGCCACAAATCGGAGAATATGCAAATTTGCAGGGCTATTGTAATGGCAACATTTTTTCGTTTTTTTCCGTTTTCAGTGTAAGTTTTCTGCRCATGAGAGACTGTTTCAACTAAATCAGCGGCCGCTCGCCTTTAACGGGAAAAAGAGGTATTATAACATGAATGAAATAATATGTTTCACGAGTTCAAGTTGCTCTTCAGAAATTCCTGATTTCAGTATCCTATTCCCAGGCTGGTCCTGAGGCTGCGTTATAGGTATAGATAATGGAGTATTGATATCGTTCATCTCAAAGTTTTATTTATCTAATTTTTTTTCTTCGGATCCTAAGGACGCCCAATTAAAGTACCRGCATCGACCTACCTCTTCCAGTAATCACCATGAATTTCCCACATAATTCCATCTGTAGCTTCGATGTTAGCACGCCCTTTATCGTCTTCACCATCGAGAATATCAAAAGACAATATCGATCCACACCACGCCGCTGATGGGTTCGCATCACATCCCTTTTTGTTGACAATGCTGAACAGATCGTTTCCGTGAGGCACAAGCTTCCAGTAACAATTCTTGTCATTCGGGGAAGCAGTTGTTATATATGGCTTACCCTTTACATGGAAACGGCTATTCTCTGTGGACCACACCAGATCTACTCGTTGGTTGTAGTATTTTGTCCTTAAACAGTACATTCCTGCTTTTGAGCGATCGTACTTTCCAAGGCCTAGCACAGATTGGGCGTACGAGTCAGTGACGACACTGATGTCTGGATCAAAGTACGGCAAAACCTTTTGTCCAAAATCTGTAGTAAAAAGTGGCTCAAGTGTGCTTATTGCCTCTTCGCGGAAATGTAAGAGGCTTGCCATCGTCATTGCGACACTATTGGGTAGCTTATCACCGTGCATTGCCATCAGTTGAGTTAGGATCATGTCCTTGAGTCCAGCTATCTGAGCAAAAAGTTCACAAAATTTGATGCATTTCTGGGCATCATCAGCGTTAGATCCTCTAAGCATCCTCTTAATGACTGTTTTCAGCTCGCCAATGAACGTATCACCAAACAATACAGGTACATTGCCATTGAGTACGATAAGTTCACTTTCCGTGAGGTTCTTCCCTACCGCAGCGTCTATATACGCCTTCGCTCCTGCAAATGCACTTATTAGCCCGCTTGCTTTGTCAGTCAGGGTCTCTTCACGAAATTTCGCCAATGCCTCATCAACTTGCTCTCTCACGATCTCCCCCATTGGCTTCGGCTTTGGACCTTTACCAAATAATCCCAACAGACCAGAAACGAAGCTCATACCAATGCCCACCAACTGACCAACAGGGCCAAAAAAGTTAGATATTGCTCCGACGATGTTTATGGCTCCTTGAACAGCGCCAATGGGATTACTTCCGGCATCGCCAAATTTCTCAATATTGCTGGCTACAACACCAAGAGTTGCCGCAACGCCCTTCCTTTCGTCATTTGTCATACTTTTCCAATTTGTATTAAGCTCGCCGACCTTATTTTGAACATGCGTCGCTAATGGCCCAGTGAAACCTTTCAACTTGTCTTTTACTTCGGTTATTAGCTGAGTTGGAGGAGCTGAAATGAGATTCTTGTTAATGATCATGTTACATTTCAGTTACATTTCAATACTGTACGTTATATGAAAATAGTTTTCCTGCATACCAAGAACAACATGTATACTTAGGTTAAAGTTCGCAACAAAAGATGTTATAGAGGTCAAGGCACAAGTCTTCTTCGCGGGTCCTTGAACCATTTTAAAAGGTAGCCGTGCCTTTATTTGCATCGAAGCGAGACGACCGTTGAGCGTGCAATGATATAAAATATGTTTTCGAGTTGTCGCGAACCGTTCGAAGATAATATAGTAAATGGATATAGAAAACAATGGACAAAAAATAGATGCTCTTCCAATAATAAAACGATGAAGACGGTTCTCTACTAACGGAGCAACCAAAAAGCAAGTTTCGAAAGGTTTGTTTCAATCGATGTTTTCTAGGAGTCTGATCGTTAAGTTATACTGGAGTCAAACCATTTAATGTTTTGGACATACATCTAATAAAACATGTTAGATATTTATATGCATACATACTTAAGTCGTTCTGTAAATTYTTGGAAATATCATTTGTTTTTTCTTTTTTAAGTTTTTCCATCTCCTTTGTAATTTTCTTTGCTGTTTCCTTTACCTGAAAGAAAACATCAYCATAAWAGAAAATATTAAAGATCATCGAKTTCACWTTTTTCTTTTATTTATTATCTTTGATGAAACAAATATGGAGATAGTTCGTTGCAAATTTCGCCTCAAAACTGAGATTTTAATAAAGATCACGTTACTGCACACATCAAGCAGAATGAGTGGTCCAGGATCCCTTGAAACGTGAGACGCACTATTGCTGACAATAGGCCTTCTGCATGAAAATGTCACATGGTACACAATCCGCCATACTGGATGGCAAAATACCTACTGGGGTGTTAACAAAGAAATGTCAAGCTTGACGGGCTGCATTCCTTTTTGTTTTTGAGGTTGTGCATGTTTACATTATTTTGCCATCCAGTATGACGGATTTTGCACCATGTGATCGCTTCATGCAAAAGGCCTATTGTCAAACTACGTACGTGTGACACTGCCCTTTATTTTMGATCTATTATTGGTGTTTCTGAGAGTATGACCACAATAAAAGTTACTAATAGCTCACATTTTTCCCCATCAATTTTAGCCAGCTTGGTCTTCCCTCCRCAGTCCGATTCCCAGGACCATCTTCTGAGATTCCTACACAGAAGGAGTCAAACGTCAACRAAACTGAACCRTGAAAGCATGACGYCATTGTAACAAATTGCATRTAAAACTCGGATCCCTTGATCAATGTTGCCCTTTGATGAGAGGCATATTTTACGAGCTTTTTAGAGGCATATATTTTATGAGCTTTTAACTCAGAAATTTGCCATTATCAAACGAAGGGGCTATGAAAAAGTATTTAGTTGTAGCGTTACAATKTTTTTGACAGCAAACCCTTTAAGAAGTTTAAACGAAAACATAACCTGATATTATTATTGTTATCAATATTTATTACTTTTAGCAAATCTGTTACTTGCAAAGTCAACTCACTTAAAACGCTTTTCTGTGGTAGAGCTGCATCGTTCTCACTATGTTTCTGACGATTAGAATGAAGCAGAGTTTAAGTAAAATAGTGAAAAAAGTGAATATTAATATAAAAGCAGTTTATTTCACGCTATGATACATATATACAATATCACAAAATTTATATTTAAAAATATTTCTAAATTTTTCAAAGAAATTCAAAGAATTTCAAAGAAACTTTATTTTTACATGTATCATTTTGCTACCTTTTGGTTTTTGACCTTGTGTTTCTTGGCTTTCACACTGCAAGTTAGAATGACCAACAAGACCAGAGCTATGGCCAGTTTTAAGAATTTCATCGTGATTTCTCCGAGAAAACCCTGTAACAGTAATAGAAGATAAGTTGATCAAAACAGATTTAAGTAACTTAAAGGGACATGGTCCACTAGCATGCAATGCGGTCGTGTTTTAGATTTTTCATATATGGGAAATGAGGTGACTTCGAATATCCGTTTGCAATCCGTTTCCATCCATCGGTTTAACGGTCGAATCTTAAAGCATGATCTCCATTCATATAGGATACAGGAAAAGTAAAGAGTAAGTTTTTGCTTATATTACGATGTAATTCTATTCTCAAACATAAACAAAAGCTGGAAAGGGATGATGGTGGACCATGTCCCTTTAAAATACTTTGTGAAACTCCCATCAGGCACTAAAAATCCAAAATCCAAGGCAGAACATAGTTTCAGACTCATTATCATTGAATAAAACGCAGTAGTTTAAAGAGATAGTGAAATTCTGTGTTTTCAGTTCTTTTGTTTTGTCGATCACGAGGTATAAATACAAACAACATGCATGTGCTGTGTTGTATCAAAAAACATAATAAAATGATTTCAAGAACTATTACTTTTTTACCTCTTGATTGGTAATTGCTCAGCTCCTCCTTCTTGAGCTTCAACCAGTTAACTAATGCGATACGCTCTACTTTTCTTTGTATATCGGTTGAAAGCTCGGCGTTTCGCGATTACTTCATAGCTGGTTGTTTTACACTTCGCTACTGTAATAAATCTGGCCACCGAAGCTTAAACAAATATTGCACTAGAAGAGTAATTATAAAAGCAAAAAGTCCCATTATTTATTCATTGCCAAAAATTTCTTTTGACAGAAAATAATAAAATGAGAACTTTTGTATTACAATACAATCTCACTGGAAACTGCTTTACAGAGTATGTCAATTATATGTAAATATACTTTACATTCAAAACAAACAAAATACCCTTTTACAAAGTTTGTAAATTTGATGGTCACTCTGGAAATATCTTGTAAATYTTGTTCGATAATTTTGAATATCTTGAAAAATTAATTAGCAAACTTTGAATTTTTTTTATTAAAATTTAGAACTAATTAACAGTAKATTTAAAGACTTGGTCAACTTTTCCAGTACACGAATACTATTGAAATTAATAGTTGTAAACGAAGAAATTAAACTTATTTACAAGAAATGGTAAAATAGTATTGGAAGGCCTTGATCATGAAATACTTTCGCTTTTGTTTGGTTTATTACTAGATATAATCTAAAACATCTGGAAGTAAGCTCTATAAATGACTAAGGAAAAAAAATCGATTATAAATGATTTAAGTGTTATTTGGCTTTTTTTACAAATAAATCTCCTCCAATTATCGACCAATTGACAAGTACAGTACTCTCTATTTTGTTTTGGACATCTAAAGCAAACGCAGGAAARGCATGAAATAAGATCAGACTAAATACTGTACTAACAAATAGCGGCTATTTAGAGACGATTTGTCAGTATCAATGAACTGGAACACAATGAAGAGGAATCCACATTTCTCATTCATCTTTATTGCGTTCTGGTTCATTGATACAGACAATTTGTCTCTAAATAGCCGCTATTTGTTAGTATTTAGTTTGATTTTATTTTATGGTTTTCCAGCTGCGTTTGCTCTACTGGAAACTCTCACTATTACTTCATAACTGGTACTGTTTTCGCTCTTTTGTGCTGTAATAAATCTGACCAACGAAGTTTAAACAAACAATGTGCTTGTAGTATTAATTGCCACAAATTTAGTGGACTTATGGTTTTTATCAGAAACAATTTCAAAACATTACTTTGTATTAGGATAAGATTGCTCACAAACGATCATCCTTAGCTTGGTATTTAGATTTTAAATTAAARGTATTGGTATCCTTATGCCCTTTTATCCAAGATATTAAAAGCTATAAAAGAGATTAGTTCAATCCTTGCTTTTGATTAACTTTTAAAAGAATTAATTTTTTTTTAATGTAATAATAATGACGCTGACACACTTTCTAGGCGTTTTTAATAACAACACGAACTAAAGACCATGAGGCCAAGGTCAAAAGGTCACTAGTGACGTCAAGATACAATGTACTTCCGGTTAAATAACAGTTTCCGGTCTCATAACTATTACATTAAAATCGTGGTCAATTCAATATCTATCCTGGGATTCGGGATTCTATCCCTCCTTTGTAACGTTCTGGAGCCCAACCGTTGGAATAGTGTAATTGTATTGTTTTTCCCGTGACAAATGATAGTTATTTATAAATGATAAGTGCGGTCTCCCTGTGTCGCGTGCAAATAAATCGACAATCTAATCGCAATAGACCCCTTGCAGTTCGTGGGAATGCAGCTCTGGAGAACAAATGAATAGATTCTARTTCCCAAGAGGGAAAAAATCTTTTGTTTTGTCCTCCATATGAAGCTTCTTTGACGTCACATGCAAGGGGTCTATAATCTTCACGGTTCCCTGCGACATCTTGAAAGGTCGCCGTGCCTTTACATCGAAGCGAGGAGACTGCTGAGCTTGCAATGATAGAAACCTTTTTCACACCTACAGACAATTGTTTAAAGGTATCTATCATTGCACGCTCAATGATCGTTTCGCTTCGATGTAAAGGCACCTTTCAAGATGGCGCAGGGAACCTTGAAGGAGACCATTTAGTGATGATATCTATGAGTGAATGACTTTGGCCAACCGTTTGTTYATAGCTCCCTAGTATATTACGATTTTTGTATAGTTCAATTCGCAAATTTCCTTAGTCAGTCATTGTTTTATTTATTTTTTCTTCATGATTATACAAAATTTATAATTCATTAATTGCGTTTTTGCTTTGTTCATTTGTAATTTGGGTGGTAAAACGTTAATGTAAAAGTGATAGTATGCCATTAAAATTAAAAAATCGGCGAAGAGCTATTTTTAAACCCATAACAGACATATATACATCCATGTAAAGCATGAATATGGACGTCGGAAGCCACGGATGAACTCATGTTTGATCTATCGAAGACAACTACATTAAGACTACATGCTATCGGTATTTTATTCTTGATATCTCTAGTTTTGACAATTATCGTTGTTCGCTTTATTCGTATACAGCTAATTTAAAAGGAATGCACGATATTGATGGTTTTCAACCATTCTCATGAGAGTGAGCAAAACAAAAACGTGCACCAGGTCCACACGCTCCGATGAACTTTATTGGGATATACATCATCTATATTTTAAACTGCATGCATGCACTACTGCTTCTAGAAACCATACATGAACTCTAGACCTGAAATGATAAACAATAGCTTGATATTTGTAAAATTCGAACATCTAAACACTTTTTTAATTTCATAGATAGGATTAGAAACCCAATACGTGAAGCCTTCAACACACAGTCAATTTTCTTGAGAAGCTCTATTTTAGACGCAGGTAACCGCAGGTARCCGTGAAGGAGACTATTAACAGTGTCGAAGGATCACATTGATCAATAGATCACCATGGTGATAATTCAATAGACAAACTACAAAAATTAGCGTGCAACACATTTGGCGAAGATTTCGTGACCGATATAAATGGTGCGTAGATAAAAACAAAATCTATTATATAAACCCACCTTTTTTAAGTTCCAGTAGTATTTTCCGTCACTTGGTAACACTTTGCCACCCTGGATACTGTCCATCCTTGGTGGCCGTCCAGGCCCCACGGGAAAATCATATTCACGCATTGCAACCCTTAGCTCTCGATCGCAGTATGGATTAGGACTACTGCCACCACAGCCCCACTTGCTGCGAATCCTGGAATAATCAATCGTTTWGTCAAAASATTTAACAYAAGAACATCAATCGTCAGAAGTAGAGGGTAATATTGACGTAMGGAGGTGCGAATTTCTTGTGGAAAGAGTAAGCGCGCATGTCTTCAAATGCTTTAGGCCCGTTTCAGGCTTTGATCTTTTGCCAAGTCTAATCTAATTGCTTACGTGCAATTCTCGAGAAGCTTGCAATCTTCAAATTATAGTAAGTTTGTCCAACTGAACAAAAATCTTCTATAATGTCAATAAATTCAGAGTACAAAATGCTCATAAACTCAACTCCACCAATTATATTAGGCTCGACAAAAGATCGACGTCTGAAACGGGCCTATTAAGACATTTCATTGGCATGCGCTACAATCACATTTGACTTGCTGTCAGATACAGCACATCGAAAAAAAATATTAGTGCTTTACATTACGTTCCATAGAAATATTCCTGGTTAATGATTCTTATCCAACCACTTTCTATTTTTTTCATCCTTYTCATTTCTCCCTTAYTATTTTGATACATCCTCTTTTGTTACGGCTGTATTTTACTTTATAWACACAATAGTMTCCTTCACGGTTAACTGCACYTTGTKGAAAGGTAGCCGTGCCTTTGCATCGAAGCGAGGCAACCGTTGAGCGTGCAATGATAGATACCTGTGAATAATTGTCTGTAGGTGTGAAAGAAGGTTTCTATCATTGCATGCTCAACGTTCGTCTCGCTTCAACCGTGAAGGAGACTATTTTATGTTTTCAAAATATTTCCGTCACTTTTTGTTTTGTACACAATAGGACGTTCACACCGACTAGTACTGCTTGATCTCTCGTCGTCGAATAAGAAGATCTGGCCTCTTACATGCTCCACTGGTCACCATAAATTTCCCACATAATCCCATCAGTACGTTCTATGTCAACGATTCCTTCATTATCAACGATGTCAAAGGATAATAACGATCCACACCAATGACCTGGGGGTTTTGAATCGCATCCCTTTTTGTTGACAATACTGTAGAGATTGTTTCCGTGAGGCACAAGCTTCCAGTAGCAATTGTCGTCGTTCGGTTCAGCAGTGGTAGCATATGGCTTTTTGTTCACGTGAAAGTAACTTTTTTCTGTGGACCAAACAAGATTCTTGCCGMCAGATATTAGACAGTACATCCCTGCTCTTGAGCGATCATAGTYTCCAAGGCCCAGCACCGAAGTAGCGTACGAGTCAGTGACAAAACTGATGTCTGGATCAAAGTACGGCAAGATCTTTTGTCCAAAATTTGTCGTAAAAAGTGGCTCAAGTACACTTCTTGCATCGGCGCGGAAATGTATTAGCTTGGACATCGTCATTGAGACAACATTGGGTAGCTTATCACCGTGCATTGACATCAGTTGAGTTAGGATCATGTCCTTGAGCCCAGCTAACTGAGCAAAAAGTTCACAAAATTTGATGCATTTCTGAGCATCTCCAGCTTTTGATTCTGCAAGCATCCTCCTGATGACTGTTTTTAGTTCKCCAATGAAGGTATCACCAAAATATGTGGGAACATTGATATTTAGTATAGTAAGTTCASGYTCCGSGAGAGTCTTTCCTGCCGCTCCGTCCATATACGACTTCACTCCTTCAAAAGCACTGATTAGCGCGCTTGCCTTGTCAGTCAGGGTCTCCTCGCGATATTTCGCCAATGCCTCATCAATTTGTTCTCTTATGATCTCCCCCATTGGCTTCGGCTTTGGACCTTGACCAAACAATCCCAACAGACCAGAAATAAAGCTCAAACCAATGCTCACCAGCTGACCAGCAGGACCAAAGAAGTTAGATATTGCTCCGACGATGTTTATGGCTCCTTGAACAGCGCCTACTGGATTACTTCCAGCATCTCCAAATTTCTCAATATTGCTGGCTACAACGCCCAGAGTTTCCTTAACACCCTTCCTGTCGTCATTTGTCATAGATGTCCATTTTGTCTTAAGTTCGCCGACCTTAGTTTGAACATGCGTTGCTAATGGCCCAGTGAAGCTTTTTAATTTATTTTGTACGTCAGTTATTAGCTGAGTTGGAGGAGCTGAAAAATGAGATTCTTGAAGTCAATAATTATACCTGTATCATGTTAGATGCATTGAAAAATACTCTACGTTATATGAGTTATAACCGGAAATAACGGAACAATCAAAAAGCAGGATTTGCAGGGTTCGCGAGAGAACACATGTTTCTATGAATTTCAATTGATCGACAATCATTTTCTTAAGGTACTTACTGGTGTCAAACAATTCACTGTTTTTTACATATATCTAATAAAGCATGAAGGAGATTCATGTGCATACGTACATAAGTCGTTATGTAAATTYTTGGAAATATCATTTGGCTTCTTTCCTTTTCTAAGTTTTTCAATCTCTTTTGCAACATTTTGTGCTGTTTCCTTTTCCTGAAATAACACATCATCATAATATTTTAATATCTTAATGTTTTGAGATCCATATCAAAGAATTGCCCCAGAAAAGCCGTCCTTCGTTTAGCAGCCATATATAGTAATCTCACCTTATTTGGAAGTACGATAGGAATGGTTTTTGGCGAATTTCTCGACTTTTAAAGAGTGAAATCGTCTGAAACTTACARATATTATAGCGAAAACACTTCTCGACAATCGGCCATTTTGTTTGTTTCCATATATGGCATGGATTTGCTAAAGGAAGCCCAAAGCTGAAAAGCAAAGGGATCCCGCACGAATGACATACAATCCTTTGATATGATCCAGTTCAATTTTTTCTTAGTTATGATCACTGATGCATCAAATATGAAGAGAGTTGTGAGAATTAATTAAAGAGGCRTCACGGTACTGCTCAGAATAAGTGGTCCAGTACATTGGAAACCCTCTGATGCGTGCGGCGAAATATTCCTTATAATGTCTTGATGGAACGTATTGTCAAACTATGGACGTGTGACACTTTCCGTATAAATTTTGATCTGCTAWTGTCGCTATTAAAGGGACATGGTCCACCACCATCCCTTTCGAGCTTTTGTTTATGTTTGAAAATAGAATTACATCGTAATATAAGCAAAAACTTACTCTTTATTATTCYTTTATCCTATATGAATGGAGATGCTTTAAGATTCGACCGTTAAACCGATGGATGGAAACGGATTGCAAATGGATATTTGAAGTCACCTCAWTTTCCATATATGAAGAATCTAAAACACAACCGMATTGCATTCTAGTGGACCATGTCCCTTKAAGGTGTGACAAAATTACTTACATTTTTCCCCATCAATACCATCCAATTAGGTCTTCCTTCCATAGTCTCTGGACCGTGTTCTGTCTTACCTACAGCAGRGGTCAAACGTCAACGAAACTGCGCTATGAAAGCATGTCCATAGCAGTTTCACACTCATATTGCATCGAAATTGCATATTAACCCGGCAACTCTTGATGCAATGCATATAGCTATTTCAAAAAAGGATGTCGGATAAAATGTSGAATGTCAATTGAAGAACGATGATTGTGCACTACCGAAAGTAGTTCATGTAAGTTGTTCTGTGGTAAGCATTGAAGTGAAATCTCATTTATCAAAATGGCGTAACCATAGTACTTTTCTGTTCATGCAATCTCCCTTCGACAATCGCCGTTTGCCGTTCTCCCCGAGAAAAATATTTGAAATAGCTGTATATGGTTAATAATACCATGATCACCTTCGGATTCTTTTGTCTTCCGAGGGATGTTTACAAGCGAACATCCCTCCCTCATGAATGGCATCAGGGACGATTACTAGTAATCGTCCCTCATGCATAATAACATGAGGGACGATTACCAGTAATCGTCCCTCATGCATAATAACATGAGGGACGATTAGACTAATCGTCCCTCATGTTATTCATGAGGAAACGGAAGGCAAAGGAAACCTTTGCTTCCCAGCAGGGACAACTGAATGTCCCTACAGCTGTTTTCTTTTTACCTCTGCGATAAACGGTCTGCTTATCGTCTCATTCACACTGAAATGTGGGATGATTTTTGGGACAAATTGACCGAGTAGCTCTGGTTCCGAGTATCTACTTCGTACCACTGAGCATGTACACTTGACGAATTTCAATGTTTGATAATAGTTGATAAGCTTCTTGGCATTATACTTGCAAATATAAAAAAAACTTTTCGCGGTTGAAGTTAAGGTTCGTTAACTTCAGCATTGAATGGAACTGAAAAGCAATTTCAAACAAAGTTCGTTGTGGGAAATCAGTTACAATGGTCGGATTATCAATATCATTTTGTATTTTTGTTCGGCGAGTGATACTCTTAGAAAAGTGCGTATCCTTTCTTTTCATGTCATATTCCAATTCATGCATGAATTGAAAACATTTGAGCATACAAAAAAAACAAGAATTCAAATTCGCTCAAGTTCAACTTCAATTTTTTCCTCGGAAATCATGCCTCGGGCAGATAAGTAATCATGCCTCGGGCAGATAAGTAAAAGTCCTGCGGCCGTCGGGACTTCAACTTATCTGCCCTCGGCTTCGGGGACATTTAATCCCTAATCTCCCTCAGAGCCATGCTATTACTTATAATAAATTAGGAGATTCTCACTCAGAGATCAATAAATATGATACGAAGTCCTTTTAGAGCTGCACTGAACCTTTCACGTTTTAACGGGATAGTTCTGAGAAATCTCAAATAAATCGTAATATATAGTTAGTATATTATATCATTGACTTTAGTTGAAAAAAGTTTTTTTTTGCAATAAAATCTTTATTTCTC